ACAACTATGTAAAATTAAACAATACATTTTAAAGCACGTTTATACAGACAGGACGTAACAATAATGATAAAAAAACCATTTAAAAAAACAAACTGAAAAGGAAGTGACGAACGAATTTCGACACCTCAAATACGGAGTGAAAAGTTAAACCAGAAGAATCAAGACTATGAGCTACCACTAAACAACTCACAGTCTGAAAATTACCATTAATAAAAACCCTGAACGTTTACTTTTCGTTTTAAACATCGTTTTAAGGTGTAAACCTATGGTGTTAACGTGTCATTTAGAGGTGTAAACGTGTCATTTAGAAATGCGCGTTCCCGTGACAAGGGGGGCATTTCATGACGGGGAGGCATAATGTGACACAACACCGGCATGCTGGCGGTACTCCGGTACTCATGCACCGTGCCAGTACTCAACACTCTCCCGCCGTTCTTATTATACATCCATATATATATATACAGCCGCCCGGTACTCAGTATATGCGTCATGAGGTGCCGAACGGACATTCTCATCGCTCTAACCGCTGGAGTTTCACAGCGGCTGTCAGCTGTTTACTCCTGTCATTCAAACAGAACGTGCTGGAGAGGGGGCGGGGCTTATCTTCTCCATGTAAATACTGTGGTGGAAACGACTATGTCAAAATTAACCTATTTGACCGTGATTTAATAGTAATACACGTTTCAAAATAATAATAATAATAATGCCGAAGTAACAACATACTGAAAACTGTTAGTAAAACCATGTTTTAATGCTTTACAATTTACATACCTAGATGCACGTGTGTTGTGTTTATGCAGTGCAACTCCCACCCAGTGGGTGGCTATGTAGAGTGATAGAACAGAGCAGGCACGCCCCCGAGAGAAGGAAAGCAAGTCACGTCACAAATTAGCATTTCTAAAATGTTAGCGTGGATTAATAAAAGTGCAAAAAGACAGCGGTTGTCGCCGGAAGAAACTTCAAATACAGAGAATGCTGTGCCTGTGTTGGAAATTGTGTCTGATGGGGAGCTTTCTTTGGTTGATCCTCCTGCTCCAAGTTCTAGTGCATTAGCATTAGCACTAGCTCCGCCGCCTCCTCCAGAGCCTCTAACGTTAGCTGCTGCTGGCGCAACTGCCACCACCAACACCGGGCAAAGCGATGCACCTGACTGCTGGACAACGGACCAGGTGCAATATTTTTGCAAGACCAATGCATGGCTCCTTCTTAAAGATAAGAAGCTAGGATGTCGGATATGCAGAGATGTCAAATCTTTGGGAATACACACTGGACAAGGACTGAAACTGTCAACCGAATGGGGTGAGTGTGCAGTGTCTCATTTCGGTGTTGACAAGGGCAAACAACAAGCTAGCCTGAGAAAAAAAATCAAAGAACATAAAGAATCACAAGCCCATGTAAAAGCTGCTGACATCCTTACATCTGCTTCATGTGAAACTATTCAACATCAAGTGCAGTCTATGCATAAATCCGAATTAGACACCACTATCAGAGTTTTTCGAACGGCATATAAAATTGGCAAACATAGCCGGCCATTCACAGACATGCCAATTGATTTGAATGTACAGAAACTGAATGGGCTGAACGTGGGCAGGGTTTTGCACTCCAATAAAACCTGTGGCGAAATCATCGACCACATAGCTCATGAGCTGAAGAAAAAAATGGCAAAAGACATTACAGAAAACCAAAGAAAACTCTGTGTTTTGGTCGATGAATCTACCACTATTAGTGGTAAAACGGTGCTTGTTGTGTGTCTACGCTCAGCATTAGCTGATGCTGAGCCCGAAACGTTTTTTTGGGAGCTGATCGAGTTGGATGGAACAACGGCTGATGACATCACAAAGGCGTTAATGGAGTGTCTTGGAAGAGATTTTAACGAGGACTTTTTAGGTCAGTGTTTCGTTTATTTTGCATGTGATGGGGCTTCAGTCATGCTAGGGAAGAGAACAGGCGTTGCTACCCAGTTGTGTAGTAAATTCCCAAGCCTGTTTGTGTGGCACTGCTCCAATCATCGTCTAGAGCTGGCAGTTGGGGATGTGGTCAAGGAGGTCTCAGGGCTCAATCATTTCCAGATCTTTTTTGACAAACTCTATTCCTTGTTCCATGCCTCCCCCAAAAATCAGAGGCAGTTAGCGCAGTGTGCGCAAGCAGTCGGACAGCGTCTCCTGGTGATAGGGCGTGTTTTGTCCATCCGCTGGGTGGCTTCAAGTGAAAGGAGCGTCAGAGCAGTCTGGGAAAACTACCGAGTGCTTCATGATCACTTCACAAATGCTGCAAACGACACGAGCAGGGATTCCAGAGACAGAGCAAAGTACAAGGGCCTGGATGATGTGCTCACATCTGCAACGTTTGTCAGCAAGAGCTCAGCGACCTCTCTCGGCAACTCCAAAAAAGAGAGATGGCACTGCCTACAGCAGATAGGCTCTTAACTCGACAAATACGAGTTTTTGAATCCATGGTCACCATGCCTGGCCCACACATGACTACAGTTCGTACAGCTCTAGCTGAGAAGTCCTTCAAGGGTGTTGCCCTGCGTGAGAATGGCAGGCTTGTACAGATTCATGCAGGTCAGTTTTTCCGCAGTATGGTAGAGAATCTGAGACACAGAATGAATTCCACAACCTCCTCTCATGTCAGCACAAGAGAAATCCCATTACATGGCCGGGAGGCCCGGGACAATCAGCTAATCCAGGACATGAAAGTTATCCATCCTGGAAGTTGGCCTGAAGAGGAGTTAGACGTACAGTATGGGGACGTAGAGGTGCTACGTTTGTGCGAAGTGCTGAAAGTGGACAGAAGAGAGACTGTTCAGGGCTTTCGCGAATACAAGGAAACCAGGGCATCCCGTACACCTGCTGCCATGGAGCCTCTACTGAAAGCAGTCCGAACCATCGCTGTCTCCACTAGTGAGTGTGAGCGGGCATTCAGCTGCATGAACGATATCCTTACTGCAAAAAGGAATGCTCTCTCTGTCAGCCGACTGTCCAGCCTGGTTTTCATTAAATGTAATGGACCATCACTAGGACAGTTCAATCCGGAACAGTATGTGAGGTCCTGGCTGGCAAAGGGAAGGAGAAGTGCTGATGAAAGAGCCTGTCCAGCTCCAGCCCCTGATACTGATGTCCCCAAGGCCTTCTGGAGCCTTTTCTAACAATGTGAAGTATATTGCAAAGCAGCTCACCCAGTGAGAAGACTTTTGGCATAATGTGCCGATTTGTACAGATCCTGGAGATAGAAGGACTTCAGACCAACCAGGGAGTTATCTGATCAGCTTGGTGTTCAATGTAACTCTTTACCATGGCTCAGACTTTGTTACTTGCAGTTACAGTTTCTCATTTTAGATTGTGCAAATGTTGCATTTGTTTTTACATGTTCTTTGTTCATGCTCTTTATCATTTTTCTGAGTTGGAAAGTTAGATTGCATCATAGTTTACTTTATACATATTTGTATTCTTCAGTGGTGAAGTATATTGCAAAGCAGCTCAGCCATGTGAGAAGACTTTTGGCACTTTTTAGTTTTTTGTTTTCTGAGTTGGAAAGTTAGATTGCATTCAAAATGTACAGAAATACTTAATTTTGTTAAAGCTTTTTATAAAAAATGCTTCTGACCAGAGCTTTGTTTCCTTGTCATTAATGTTGAACACCACCAGAGGGGCTCTCACCTGAAAGGTCTCTGCTTCATGTGTCTTCAGCAGAAGATCTAGACTTTGATTGCTATATTTTCAGTTAATATTGACCTTACTGAGCTTTAGCCATATCCGCTGCCTATCATAAAAAATGTTAAGTACAGTGAACCTTTCTAAAATATACAGTAGTAAAGAGACAAACCCACCAGCATTATAGTAGCCAAATTCTTGTTTGTGGGCTGTATATATAAAATTGACTTGAAAAAGTTGCTGATTTTAGAGTACTGGCACCTTTTTCATTCCAATTCAAGCACTGAGAGTATGCATGAACTAGCCTAGCCAGCCGGTTGAATCCCTGCTAGCTAATTTCAGCAGCTATTCTGACGCTTGTTTTCTTCGGAATTTTGCGCCTACACTAACTTATTATAATGATTATTATTGTTATTTATTATTATCCTAGTTGTTATTGTTATTGTAGTAAGCACCAAGGGTATTTGCTCCCTTGTTGGACTGTCCCTGTGTTTCCTATTTTCCCGGTGTGTGCGTGCGCCAGGACTGGAAATTAATTTTTCAAAACATTTGAATATTTACCAGCCACTGGGGAAAATCTACCAGCCATTCAGTAGTAAACCAATGGTACATTTGTATTATGTATTTAAAATCTACCAGCCACTGTTATGTTTTACCAGCATTTGGCTGATGGTTTGTGTTCATTTCCATCCCTGGCGTGAGTGTGTGTATATTTTATCAGAAAACAAAGCATATTAATAATTATTGCATTTGTCTTTCAAAGATGTCAGGAAAGAGGCAACTAAGCATTCTTTCATGCTTTCAAAAACAATCAGCTCCCTAAAAAGGTGGCCAGGTCAGAGGAGGCAGTAGAGGAGACTGTGGAGGAGGTAGAGGAGGCAGTGGAGGAGAGTGGGGAGAACCCATTGGAAACAGAGAAAAGGAGAGGATTATGTGGAGCAGCCACATATAGGTGTTCCTTTAAGAAGGAGTGGTCAACTCGATGGCCATTCATCACAATGGGAACCACCAGCTCCTTCTACTGGTGCTCAGTGTGAAGACAAGAGAACTCCTGTGCTCATCAAGGCGTGAGGGACATAAGCAGGCATGTGGAAGGCAAGGGACATCGGGCCAAAGAACAGTCTCTAAACTCAGTCAGCAGTATTGCACAGTTCTACGTGCCAGAAACTTCTCTTGGAGGCATGAGTGTACAAGAGGCCAAGGTACATACAGTATAGTTTAGCACAGGAAAACTAAAAAGCTGGTGGCAATGTTTGATGAATTACATTTCTCTTCAAATTGATGGTCATATTACCTTGAAAACGTATTTAAGGTTATGAGGTATGTAATCAGTTGTTTCTGTTGCAGACCAGGAGGGCTGAGGTGAAGGTTGCTGTTGCAATGGTGCAGCACAATGTTCCCTTTGCCGTTGCTGACCATTTCAGCCCCTTGTACAAAGAATGTTTTAGAGACTCCCCTACAGCTCAGGGCTTTAAGATCGCAAGCACAAAAACAACGTGCCTCATAAATGAAGCAGTGGCACCTCATTTTAAGAAGGAACTGGTGATGAAGATGAGAGAGAATCCCTTCACACTTGTCACAGATGGCTCGAATGATACTGGTATGTGCTTAACAACTTCTATCAGTAATTAGTACTTATTTTTTATCCATTTCTACATGCACTCATACAATTTGAACAACATATTGTTTTAGTTATGGTCCTTATTGTTACAGGTCTAGAGAAGATGAATCCTCTCACTGTCAGAATTTTTGACACCAACAAAGTTGTGCACAGGTTCCTTGATATGTGCACCACCAGTGGGCTGAGCTGTGGCACCGCTGAAGGGATCTACACAAAAATCAATGACACCTTGCAGGAAAATGACATCCCTTGGAGAAATTGTGTAGGTCTCTCTATTGACAATGCCCCTGTAGATGGGAGCCACCAACCCCAGTGCTGAAGGCCTCAAAAACTGCCACCAACACCTACAACAAAACACACACACACACACACACACACACACACACACACACACACACACACACACACATCCCTTCACTAAGAATGAAATAAATATGTTTTTATTTGTATGAATTTGTGTCATTTATCAGATAAGACCACCGTCCCCACCCAAAGCCCCGCCGCTGCCAAAATCTCACTCTGAACTCTGTTCAAAACTTGAGAGCCCTGATAGTATGGAGTCAGATTTGGGTCAATATTCTAGCGCGTAAAACAAGCTACTCACGAGCGGAAAATGTGCTTTTACACGCGCATAAAATGACCCTCGCGCGCAGATTAAACCCCCGCGAGCGGCTCTGCGCGAGAGAGACAGCCCTCTTGCTCGCTCGCGGGAGTATCAGCCTCGCGGAGTCTGTCTACGCGCGCGTGAAAAGTTTCTGGCACTTTGGGGCGGAGCCACTGGACTTTGATTGACAGCTGCCAGGAAACCCGGAGTTGCCAGGTTTGATAAATGCCTGAACTACCAAGAGCCGAGGAGTGACGGCAGCAAAATCAGTTGGACGAGATTGAATGGTAAAGTTGTCCATAAAAAACTATTATATTTGTAAAGTGTACAGCTAATATATATATATATATATATATATATATATATATATATATATATATATATATATATATATATATATAAATGTATTTGATATAAAACAATATATTTTTGAGTGGGCTGTATCTGTTGAAAATTGCATATATATATATATATATATATATATATATATAAATTAATTTGATATAAAACAATATATTTTTGAGTGGGCTGTATCTTTCGAAATTGCTAGCTACTGTCTGCTGTACACTCTTAGAAGGGATGTGTCAAAAATGACACAATACGTGTTGAATTTCAACACACCTACAGAGTGTGCTCAGGGACAACACGTGTTGTGTTTATTTACATGTAAATCATTTGTACACACAAAATGTGTTACATGCCCCTAACACACAATGTGCACATTTTACACATTGTGTGTCATAAATGTGTAACCAAGATGAACACACTCATTTGTTATTTCTGCACATTTTGTGTTATATTTCTTTAACCAGAATTAACATTTGATTGTGTTATATCTGCACATTGTGTGTCAATGACGATTACTGGAAGTACCAGGTGGTGGATATGGTTTTTATTCAAAAAATCGAATGCAAGAATACATTCATTGGACATTTATTTACAAGGATTTCATTAGCACAATATGTCATTAAGAAAATAATTGTTAACATTTAAAAATATTAATATTTTTCTAATTCATCAAATGTTGACAGAATAGATCAGGCATCCTCAAACTACGGACTCCGGTCCGGATCCGGACCGAACCACCACTGTCTCCGGACTCTGAGCAAATTATACTTTTCATATGTATGATCTCTCTGTATTATATGTGAGACAATCGCCACAACGCATTCGCAACGAGTCAAAAATTCTCCGCTATGTCCACTGCAAACAGCGCTCTGCATGTCTGACTGTTCCACTGTGTTCCACCTGTGTGTGTCAACGCTTTGGTCCAATCACATTCAGCATCCAGTCAGCGTTTTTCCCCCCCAAACAATCTGCGAATCAGAGGCACAGTAGGGCGGGTCTTCGCGGAATGCGGGTGGGAAAAATGTGTGTGTCTCTTTCAACCTGTCTAAGTCAGAGCGAGAATTAAAACAAAAACAAAAAAAATTCAGAGCGAGAGTTAACAGCTCATCTAGTTCCATCTGTACTGTAGCTAGTAGCCTAGTTTCACCTACCGGGGTGGCAACTGACACCCTAAAAATAGGCCTTGCCACCCCAGCTGCCACCCCAGTTGGCAGCTTTGTTTTGAAAGAAAAGTTGTGGCTCATCGGACATTTATGAGAGAAAGTCTCTAATGTCCGAGTGCAAGTGAATGCAGCACAAGATGCACGTCATGTAACCCCTCCCCCGGTCCTGGCGCGAGCGTGGACATAAGATTTGGCGGTGATTTCATTTTTAACTGGACGGCGCAAAACGAGAAGCATTCGGACCCAAGCACTGAAGGAATGAGGTATTTGCGGTCTACAATGACAGAGAAGAGACTGTCAGTGTGGCTGTACTCAGCATTGAATCAAAACGCACTAAAGCTGTGATCTTAATACGTTTGTGAGGCGTTTTGCTGAACAAGATGGTAATCGCCGCATTCAGCTGTAATAGACATGTCAACTTGATGCTCTGCTCACGGATGAGCATACAAAACTATTAAGATGATGACCTTACGTGTGTAAATATATTGTTTTCTTTGAGGGGGTCTGCCCCCAAAAAACTGTTTTAAGTCCTGAGAAAGTCAAATAAGACGGTGTTTAAAACTACACTGCCCAGCCAAACAAAAGTCACCACTTTGATTTAACTAGGCCAGTAGGTAAGGACTTTCCACTGGATAATAACTGCAGTATAAAAGAATGCATGACTGAAGTGATGGAGACCATGTTGAAGGCAAACACAAAGAGGAAATAACAGGTCAAATCAAGCAAATCCCCTCTCAGATTGCACAGCAACCAGAAGAACATAAATACTGGCTGGTGATTTGATTCATCAGCTTTGTGATGGAATAGAAAATGCACAGTGCATTTCCTTAGCTGTGGGTGAGTCCACTGACACCACTGACAATGCTCAGTTGCTGGTGTTTGTGAGTTTTTATGATGAGGCAAAGGGGGAGTTTGTTGAAGATGTGTTGGGCCTGACGAACCTCAGTGGACACACAAGGGGGCAAGACATTTATAAAGCAATAATGGGAATGCTGAATGAAAGAGGGTGCAGCTGCCTTTATTCCTAACTGTGCAGCTCTTACACTGCGACTCTGAGGGGTCAAGCACAGAAACAATAACAATGAAAACTGCTGCATACAGATTATTTTTGTTTTTGCAACCTCGTGTTAAGAATCTTGTTGCAATTGTTTAAAAGTTTGAATGACCGTAATAAACGGACCTTTGTCTTATTGAAACATTTATTTTGGACCTTTAAGATTTGTATTTGAGTACCCCTGGAATAGATCATTCATAAAATCACACCTAAAAAAACCTTATACCTTGGTTAAAACAAACTTAATCTTCAGCAAACTATTGTTGTAAATGACTTTCAGCTGAGGGAATATAGTGATGAGATTCTTCACAAGGACCACCTTGTCAATGTTGGATGGATAATTAAGGATAAAAATGAATGACAAGTGAGCTATTTATTTTTTATTTTTCAAAAAGAATACAACAGTTCTAGCATACAAATATTACAAATGCGTGATAATAAAGCAATTGGTTAAAAATAATGTCCTTTTGTATCAAGCAAATAAAAAAACAATTTTTACAACCAATTATATTTATATATATATATATATGCAAGTTTCGACAGATACAGCCCACTCAAAAATATATTGTTTCATATCAAATTAATTTATATATATATATATAAGCTGTACACTTTACGAATATAATAGTTTTTTATGGACAACTTTACCATTCAATCTCGTCCAACTGATTTTGCTGCCGTCACTCCTCGGCTCTTGGTAGTTCAGGCATTTATCAAACCTGGCAACTCCGGGTTTCCTGGCAGCTGTCAATCAAAGTCCAGTGGCTCCGCCCCAAAGTGCCAGAAACTTTTCACGCGCGCGTAGACAGACTCCGCGAGGCTGATACTCCCGCGAGCGAGCAAGAGGGCTGTCTCTCTCGCGCAGAGCCGCTCGCGGGGGTTTAATCTGCGCGCGAGGGTCATTTTATGCGCGTGTAAAAGCACATTTTCCGCTCGTGAGTAGCTTGTTTTACGCGCTAGAATATTGACCCAAATCTGACTCCATAAATAGATGCTCCTGTTAATATTTAGACATGTTCTGAAGGTGTGTTTGCCTTTGCCTAGCGGAAGTAACTCTCTACCACGTGACTGAGATGGAAAATCACAGAATTGTGAACAACTCATCAAAGACAAGTTCATCCTGCTCTGGCAAATAAAGTGAATCCCCGTTTTAGTAGGCTACATTTAAAGTCAAATAAAACTTTTCATATGTGTAAAATAAAAACTTCGAGCCCTACAATACATTTGACAGTCAGATGTTGGATTGTTACGTCAGATGCCCAGAGGCACTCTCTCATACAACACACACACACACACACACACACACACACACACACACACACACACACACACACACACACACACACACACACACACACAGGCTACTTCCTGTAGCACAAGGTCACATGATATGGTAACAGGACCCAGGGGTGGTTCAGCATTACATAACATGGAGCTGAATCATCTCTCACACGCGTGCACACAGTCATTCCTACTGGCCTACTTTCATTAGCAAAATGCTCAGCTTTCTTGCGGCCTATTTTTAAGTTGTGAAATAAACCGTTATGTGTTAAGTTGTTTAAGTTTATCTGTCCCTAAATCATATACACACATCTGAAGCAGTACACACTCACACTTCGCTGACCTATTTTCCTTCCAGTAGGCTACAGGACAGAGGCAGGGAGGATTGAATGGGTCATGGCAGGCAACTTAACTCTCTCCTGAACGGCTGCCAACCCAGCATGTTCAGCAGAGGGGTCACATTTCTCTCTTTCAGGCAAGCGTGTACCAACTCTGAGACACTCTAAAAAACCATGTTAATAATCTGTGTTATCAACCCTTTCGAAATCACACCCTAAAATGTAACATGTTCTGTGAAAACCTGATGGTATTTTCATTGTATAACGTCACAATGTGTGAATGCAGCCTTGAAATTGCAAATCCAGCGAGGAAAGAGACAGAAGGTGATCCACTTTCTCAAATTAAAGCAACAATCATCACAGGAAACAGCGGATG